CAAGTCACGGTGAAATTCGAATCGTTCAATCCACACTCATTGCACTGTTTCGCTTCAGAATTGGAGAACTTGAAACTCCCATGGGATGTACTCGATCTGCGGAAGAACTGAAGACGTATATCCTGTCATAAACGCGCTATATCGGTTTTTGCAACGTCTCTGTTTCGAAATGGAGTGGTGAGAACCAAGTGAGAACCACACACGACGTTTCGCAATATCTCGCTAGTGGACTATTCTGTGCCTCTAAGTCTCCGGGCTCCTATCACAAATACGGCAAGGATGATCGTTTCCAAGGTTCATTGCGTTTGTTCTCAGTCTATCTTTGATTTCTCAGTCAATGTCGCAACTGCGGCGACAAACATGACGTTCATGCTCTTACCAATGTGAACAATGTCCTGCCCGCTCCTGTGGAGTGAGTATATAAGTCTTCTATCTCAAAATGACCTGCGTGCTTACGCACCATTTTCGTTCGTTCTTCCCTCCCTGATATTGTGCTTGGCGCCATGAAGAAGACGACGTCATTAATAGCCTCGCTCTTGCCTCTTGCCGGGATCGTTTCCGCTTGGCCAGCACCTCCTAATCCGTACACACCCTCTGGTGGGTTGAACACAAATGGCTCTACGCCCATCTATCGACCTTTGAGCCAGTTCGACTTCCAGTCCCTAGTAAGCCTCGTCGCTCCTCCTTACCCAATGTCATTTACTTATTTTTTCCCCTCAGAATCTTGCGCTCAACCAAGAATATATTGAGCTCGACCTCTTCCATTACGGCCTTGCCAAATTTTCTGTCGCCGACTTCGAAGCTGTAGGCCTCACCGCCGAAGACAGACACCTTATCGAGTTCATGGCAGATCAAGAACTCGGACACGCCATCCTCGTCTCCAACATCCTCGGTGAGCGCGCCGCAAAGCAATGCACGTACCGCTACTCATTCAACACCGTGCGCGAGTTTATCGATTTCTGCCAAAAACTCACGCGGTTCGGCGAATCGGGTGTGTACGGGTTTTTGGAACATTTGAATTCGAGAGATGCAGCGACGTTGTTGCTGCAAAGCATCACGACCGAAGCGAGGCAGCAGATGATTTTTAGGCAGTTTGAGGGACTGTTCCCTATGCCTGTCTGGTTTGAGGTGGGAATCACGCAGAGTATGGCGTGGACCTTGCTGGCGCCGTATCTCGTCAGTTGCCCGGCTGAGAACCCGCGTATCATATGGCAAAACTTCCCAGCATTGAACATCGAGGCAAGTGCCATTTTCATTCCGCTATTGGATCATTTTCTTCGATCTGACCTTTCCTTCTTTCTTCAGAACAACCTCAATGCGACAGCCTACAACGACACCAACTCGACAGGGTATGAGACCACTCCAGCTATAACCCATAACCGCACCGACCCTCTGTCTTACCCTGGTCGCGAGGTGACCTTTACTTGGGAATCGCCTGGAAAGCAAGTAGGGTACAACGACAGTTTTACGACGAGTACATCAGCAGGTGCACCCCAGGTTCGTTCGAATCCTTTTCCTCTTTCTGTCTTTCTCACAACAATGTTTAATACTTTGTTCTTTATCTATTATCAGTTTGTTGCATGGATGTCGCAGTTAAACACGACATATACGGACCTCTTTGACATTAATGGGACGGGAAATGGAACGACTGGAAGAACGTACCAACCTGGAGGTCGGGTATTTGGAGATGGCACTTCTCCCATCGTCAATGGGACCATGTACGTTTCTCTTCTTCTGAAATTTTTCCTACAGTCTTTTTTCTTTTTTTTATTCACTGGCGACCTTCTTCCTGCCTGTCACGTTATTCTATCGTTATTCTTCTTTTTTTTGAGGAACGCATCTGACTCCTGAAACTTTATTAGGTTTGTTGCTATCACCGACGACAATGTTACTGTTACGCCAGCCAACATCAGCGCTCTCAACCAGCACATCGTCGCTGGCCCCGCTCTGTACCAAGCCGGCTGAGCTACTCCATAAAAACTGACCTTTTGTCTCTTCTGTTGCACCCGTAACTACCGACTTCCGTAATGAAGCGAAAAATGAAAAATGTACATTCAATCTATTTTCCAAACATAATTTATTCTCAAATTGGCAATGGCTAACGCAAGGACTAAGTTTCTTGGTACACAACATTGGTCCACGGGGAAGACCAAGGGCAGACCATTCAACAAGTCATGTTCAATAATTGAGGTATGATTACATTCGTCTTTTCAACGTGGATTTTTCAGTGCTAGGCTAATTGAAGGAGAAGAATTACAGATGTAAATCATATTCATATAAAGCCACAAAACGATATGACTATTTGCTAAAAGTGCGTAATGTCACAATTCGAAAGTCCATTGACGTTGCACTGACTAAGTAACACTGAACTATCTAGAATGAGGGTCAGAGAAGAGATAAAAAGACAGATCACCAAATTCCACTTACTTGCACGCCTTAGAGCCCGCACGCGCTCTGACTAACCTGCTTGGCGGTAATAGTCACCCTTCCCAGCTGAACGGCCTGTCCACCTGTAAGTGTATTCATGGCTTCCTCCGCAATATTGAAATTCGGAGTCGCAACATCGATCGCCAAAATATTAATGCTCTTCGACACTCCTTTGGTGTTAATATACGTCAGGCTCCAGCAGGTGCCGCAGGCTGGCGAGTTCCACCCAGTCACGGCGGGTGCACCGCCGATGTTGGGAAGGAGGGGAGGGAGCCAAAGGTGGTGAATCCGAGGCTCTCGAGGCCGTTAGCTCCATCAGAGCAGGCGACGGTGTTGAGTGATTGACCGGCGTTGTCATATGCTGTGTCGTAGCTTACGGTGAGGCCGTAAACAGACAAGACGGAGAGGGTGAACGAAGAGAAGAGTGTGGCGAATTTCATGATTGGAATATTTATGTGAGCTTCAAGTTGCGATGCTGCTTGTTGGGCTGCTTGTTAATGCATTTGAAGGATTTATGAGCTCCTTTTATACTCGAATCCAAGAGCAAATAACGGAGAATTATGACCTCTAGACCCCATGGTTGAAGTATCGGCAAAAATTGGCCTTGAATGTTGAGCGCAAGAGAGGAGCGACCCAGAATTGCCGGGGAGAGTGTTGAAGTAAAATTAGAGACCCACTCTCTAAAGGTTATTCTTGGAAAGACCCAGAGCAACCGAGAGATAAAAATCAGGCCTGCGAATAATCGGGTCAGACGGACGACAGGCAGAGGTCACCGGTCAAGTACTTCTTTGCCCATGACATCTGCACACTCCGACTCGAGGCCTGCACGGAGCTCGTAGGTTTTCATCCCATGACCGGTAAAGATCAAAGGGAATCTCTTTCGAAGCTCGGGAAGGGCGGTATAACAATCTTGCTTAAGATGGCCGCGATCTTTCTCCGCCCAGTCGGCTCTGATTCCTGAAGACTGAGATATTGGGAGTAGTCGATAATTATCTGTCCTTCGATTTCCCAGGGGAAATTACACACAGAAGCTCGACGACTCGGCATCCAGTGTTCGAGGCAGAGGTTGCTGGTCTCTTAGTCGTCTGGAGCACCATAATAAAACCCATGAGGAAGAGGATGACAATTTGGGGTGTACTTACTAAATTTACTAAGGATCTAGGTAAGTATGTCCTTTCGAAAGTCTTTAAAAGGGTCAAAAGGGCGAACATAATTTGGCGTATAATCAACCTTCAAAGGCGGTACTTCAGTCTCAATAGCAAAAAAAATGAAGTGGCTGAGAAAAAAAATCGCTATTATAGTACAGGCTAAAGCCAGACAAAATCCGCTGACAATTTAAATCTACGATACGATGGACGCGTGTATATGTCTCGACGTAGTAATGTAGAGTTGGAAGACGGTGATCGAAGGAAAAGAAATATAGACCGCATTTGTTAGGTCAGTCCGGACTAACATGTTCCCTTGGCCTTGGGATAAGGGTCAGAAAAATATAGAAATATTCAATAGAATCGTTCTTACACGTCTCAAAGACCGCAAAGGCTCTGAACGACCTGGTGGGCCGTGATCGTTACTCTTCCCAGCTGAACAGCTTGCCCACCAGTAAGAGTGTTCATGGCTTCCTCCGCGATATTGAAATTTGGCGTTGCAACATCAATCGCTAATATATTAATGCTCTTCGAGATTCCCCTGGGATTGACATATGTCAAATTCCAGCAGGTGCCGCAATTAGGTGAATTCCATCCAGTCACGGCGGGCGCGCCGCCGATGTTGGGGAAAGAGGGAAGGGAGCCGAAGGTGGTGAACCCGAGACTCTCAAGACCGTTAGGGCCATTGGAGCAGGCGACAGTGTCAAGGGATTGGCCAGCGTTGTCGTATGCAGTGTCATAGCTCGTAGTGAGACCGTGGACGGACAATAGTGTGAGGGCGAAGGAGCAGAAGAGCGTAGTGAACTTCATGGCTTGAGTGATATGTGGGGGTCAACTCGAGTCTGAAGTACTGAATGGTTTTCCATCATCTTTTATACTCAACCAAAAAGCCAATAGACCCTGAATTGTTGCAACCGTGATGAGTCGAATTAAAACGGGTACCCTGGAGGATTATTCCTGGAGAACCAGGAGATAAAAATCAAGCATGCTCACGAGCTTGGGGCTAATAATTAGTCGGGACGGATGACGAAGGGATGAAATAATCCATGACACTTATATATTCTGGGAAGCCTGTCAAGATCGAGAAGGAGCCGATATTCACTAGTTTGTAAACAAGGTGGCAAGAAACGATTTTCTTACCGGGCGACCTTCCTCCACTTCGAGGTCTAGGGTTGATAACTTTCGAAGACTGTTGTCCTTTTCAAGCAAGTAGGAAGTTCAAAGACTACGGAGTCTGATAGTTCCAAGGCAAGGGAATCCTTCTGGCCTTTAGCCGAGTGGAATTCTACACTAGAAATTCATCAGGGAAAGCTGGTTCAACCAAGTGGTAGGTTTCGACGAAGAAGTCACGGTATGACCGCTAAAATCGAGACAGCTGGATAAATTGAATTACAGATTGTCTCTGCAATTAACGAGTGCAGTAAATATGGGCTCTTGGCACAGGGGTAGCGCGCACGCTTCGCATTATGTAAGCAAATGCGTGAGGTCGTGGGTTCAATTCCCACAGTGTCCACTTTTTAATTTATCTTCCCTTGACTAATGGACTCAAATCTCAAACTCAACCATTTTAATATTACGACTCCAGGACGTTGTCTCTGCCAGAAGCATCATAACTTGCGTCCTCTTCCTCAAGCAGAACAGAAATCTGTGAGTAATCAATCACCGTTACAGCTTGACAGGCCTAAGGCTCCAACCGTACTGTCTATCTACTGTATATATACGGTTATAACTGTATAAGTTTACGTATATGTATAGGGCCTTTTGAAAATTCTCGGCATACAGTAAATATACGATATACGGTATTCCTATACGGTTAGACCCAGTCAGCCTAAAAATTTCCCTTAGAAACAGCTACAACCCACCTAAGCAAGAGTCAATAACCTTGCCAATTATTTTTCTTGGTGCTTTACAATGGAAAGAAGTATAAAGGGAGCTCCTTGAGTGGGCGAACCCGATTTTAATCTCCGACATCAGTGATGCGAAAGAGGGTGGGGTCGAAAACGGGTTACCTGGCTTGGATAATGGGAGGGTATCACCCCGAATGCGATATCTCTACACAAGATTTTAACATACAACAGACAAGGGAAGCTCATATTTACCATTTTCCAGCCCCCAGGTGGCCAAGAAAATTCTATTTGGGAAACTGTGTACTGAAAACCGTTTAACCGTATATATACTGTAAATATACTGTAAACAACCGTATCCGTATATTTAAGCTATCGGCCGTATACGTATACTATACGGTTGGAGCCTTAGACAGGCCTGCATCTAGCTTATCATGCTTGCTCTTCGTGTAGGTCAAACATTTCCATTTGCATGGCGGATCTTCGTACTTCAAGCTATACTACAAAGGATCAAAATGAAACTACAGCCTTACTAGCACCCTCTTTTTCCCGTTTTCAAGTGCTTTCCATACTGGAGGACCTCCCGCGGGAAATCCTTGCCGACATCTTTACAATCACTTGCCATGACACATTATATGGATTTTTTGAGGACAAATATCGATACAAGAGAACCACGCCGTTTCTTCTCGGACATGTCTGCAGTGAATGGCGTACAGTTGTGTGGTCAACCCCGGAGATCTGGAGCCATGTGGCACTGTACTTGACTCTCGAGAAGGAGGATATCCAAGTCGCCCTTCTTGAGGAATGGTTGAGTCATTCTGGAGAGTATCCACTCACAATTACTATTGAACTCGAGGACGACGACGGCTGGATGGAAAGGATACCCGAAAAACTTCTGCGGCTACTGTGTTCATGTGCCAATCGGTGGCAATCCATAAGCTGGACCCTTCCTGAATCTTGGTATCCTATTTTGAAGAAAATCAAAGACAGCTTTTCCCTTCTCAGTACTATGTCGACGGGCATCCTGTTTGACCACAGTGAGGGCAGAAAACAGTTTGATCTTTTTTCCAGAGCGCCTGCCCTCCGCGATGTCGGGTTGCTGAATGGATTTTGGATTTCCGATGTGGATCTTCCCTGGAATCAGCTAATCAGGTTGACCCTTCAAAGAGTTTTCATAGACGAATGTTTGGCAGTTCTTTCGAGGACTTCACAACTCAAGTTCCTCTCTTTGCAAGAAGTTTTAGAGGGCCCGAACCTATTGCAAGATCAACAAATCGAACTGCAAGCTCTTGAGCACCTCGTGATAAATGAATCACCGTAGCGACTTCTGTCCTTCTTCCTGAGCCGATGCACGGCTCCGCTGCTCCGTAGATTCGAGTACTCGCCACCGACAGGTACTATTTCGCGACACGATAACATAATTTCGACTTTCAAATCTCTAGCCACTGACCTGGGTTGCCGCCTCACAGCGCTCCGCCTAAGCGGCCTTGTTTTCGATCAGCAACGGCTGCCTGTCCTTTACCACGGGGAAGGAGAACAGAAGGCCACCATGACCACCTCCAGCAAAGAAAGGACGTCGCACGTAATAAAGTTTCTTCGTGGCTTTCCGTCGCTTCAAGACCTTGAATTGGACCTCATAAATCCTAGTCTTCCCAGCTCTGATATTCTCATCAAAATATTGGAGCCCCATATTAGTTCTTTAGACGAAATCGACCTGAATTTATTACCAAATTTGCAACGTTTGGTCTTTTCAGGACCCATTTTTCTCAAGAATAGATTTGAAGAATTGTTATACAAAACCCTTCAAGACAGAGACGTTACAGGAATTGCAACAACACAGAAAGATGTTCGTCCGTTGCTTTTCTTTGAATTGAAGTCGAAGGAATACCACACCTATCCTTATACTACTTTCACACCGGAAGACAGAGAAAAATATACATCCCTCGTTGCAAACGGTATGCATTTGAAGATCCTGGTCAAAGCTGGATATGAACATAATGTAATCCTCCTTTGCGATGGCAACCAAAAGTTTATTAGTAGGTAGGATTGTCTATATTGTCTATATTAATGTGGAGTATTCCTACAACCAACTGGTAAACATAGAACACATAAACGTATCGGAAAACCCATCAGGTTTCAGATGATTTGCAACGAAAATAAATAATCAAACATTAGTCCAGTCCAGATAATCCATCCGAGATGGCCATTGCGGTTGAAGTTTTCTACAGATTGGAATCAACAGTGTTCATAGCAGCAAAGTCAAAACCATACGCCAGCAGCTGCGGGGAATATCCAAGTCAACGGTAAAGTACTGCCACACAAGGTGGCTAGCAGTTCCACCGACGGAGAAAACGAAGTATGCATAGCTTTGCTTGTTGATGAAGCCAGCGACCGCTAACAGGAACAGGAAGGTTGATCCACAGCATACCAGGAGTGGACGGATCCATTCCCCGAATAGTATTGCTGTTGAACAAACGCCCATCTTGACGTCATCCTGGATATCCTGACATGCATAAATTGTATCTAAACGCGGTCAGAAATGTCATTAGTGGGAGCTATCAGCTTCCTGTCAAACTTTAAGGTACCGTAAAGCATCGTCCAGCTTCATTTTTTTTAAAGTCAGAAAAATGAGGGCGTGTATAGGACTAACTTACCACCAGCATGCAGTGACGGATGTCAACAGCAGAGGGACGTCTACAAGTCCAGTCATGGCGATCCACGCTGTGATGAAACCGAAATTCATAGCAAATCCGAGCCAGGCCTGGGGCCAGTGTGTATACCGTTTGAGGAGAGGGTAAATGGCAAATCTAAAGGGATATATCAATACTATGATTAATTTGGCATATGACCTACTCACAACGGCAACAGCTGGAAGAGGGCGACCCAAAGGCTTTTAACTTAAATCTAAGCAACGAAAAAAGCACGAAAACTTTTAACTTACGCCAACTTTTCGACCGTAAAGCAAAAGAAAGTAATGCCAAGCGCATACTGCATTGACAAAAAAGTATAGGTTGCAGTCACAGTTATCCGACCACTAGGAAGAGGTCTATTTCGTGTCCGTTCTGAGAACAATTGAGTACTGTGAGCATGACATTCTGCAAAAGAGACTCCATGATTTTACATACCAACCCCCGCGTCGACATGACGGTCAAATATGTCATTAACAGTGCATGCAGAACCTCGCAGTAGAAAAGCGCCTATTAGACACTCGGCAAGTTTTACAGCATATCTGCTAGGAGGTGTTTGGACCCGAAATGCGGCCATGGTAAGGCCCCAAGCTTAGTATGAAAGGTTTGTTAAATTAAATGGAACACTTTTGCTTATAGATTCGCTTTACCAAATGGCCAAAACATGAGAATTGTTCCTGTCGGCTAAGAAGGAAAAGGTTAAGTAAACCGCTCGCGAAAGGCGAGGAACTGACCTTTTCCAGTCTGATGAGTTCTAGATACGGTCTTGCACATTCTGGAGCAAAATTCAGGGGAAATTTTGGAGTTGACGCTGGGATAGTGTATATGGGAATAAGGGCCTTTTCTTCGCTATGATTATGGCCCATGTTAAGTATATTATTGAAAGGGGGATAGCCGTCTTCAGCTAAAACTCGACCTGGCTTTTTAAACCTTTCTGTCGAGGGATGGCCAGGCAGCCGGACAAAAAACTGTCAGGCTAGAAGGCACAGTATACCTCTAGTTGGTTCTCCAAAGATACAATCGGCTGCAATTCAAATGTCTCTGAAGTCGAACACTGGAAGCTCTTGCTGATTGCGGCCGAGTTTCGATTGAGGAATCGATCAGCAAGGATGGAACCCATGAGCAGGGACAGCAGCTGTTATTTTTAAAATCTGCTCGGAGATGTTGCAATGATCCATGGTAGGCTTTCATCTGAGGGATCAAGCAATCGGAGCCGCTATATCCAAAAACTTCGCTTGAAAGTAGGCGTTAATCATTCAGAATAAGCATGTATCAGTTTAGAATTCTATTCTGAACGTTAATCGCACTGGAAAAATCCGAGAAGGGCCAATTTCAAGGAGAAAGCAGAATTGCGTATCGCAAGTGGGGGCGGATAGGATTGCGGAATATTACCAGATTCAGTTAATCAAACAAGTGCGCATCACTAGGGATGTGTAAGAATGACGACTGAAGTGGGCGTCATTCAATTGACAGCCATCGAAGTTCTAGAGCGTACGACCATACGCAAACGTTACCCAGTCATCAGTGACGTAGAGGGAAGCATTGGTGTGGAAAGTCTCTGTGAGGTCAGCCCATTAAGATGCCTTCAAACCAGGTAGTACTCCAGCTATGACGAGGCTTGTCCAACGACGGCCCCTGTAAAGGATTTTAAAGCCGTGGAGCCATCCACTCCGCAGCACCCGGAACGCACAAACAAGGCGTTAGAGATAGTCAGGAAAGTAACCAGGCTGATCTATAAGGTCAACGACATCGTCACCCATGGCTAGTGGGCACTTCGAACTGGGTACCCGGGGATCTCGGACAGCCAACGCTCAAACGTGCCCTAGTAAATCGGATCTGTCGACCCCAGTCCATGATGCACACCGATAATGATCCTAGGACTGGAACAAGACTGGGGGATAGAGTGGCGCCGACTTAAGGTCTGATTTTTTTTTTCCTTTTTGCCAACGGCTGAAACGACGATCTTCGTCCAAATACTCTCA